AAATAGTTGATGTTATATTCTGGGAATTCCGGGGAATTTACGAGGAATCCGGGGGTGGAAAACTTTTTGCATTTTTTTGGGATACCGAATTTGACATTCGCAGCAGAACTTAGCGTGTTCGTATGAATTTTATAGCGACAAATTTTTGACGATTGTAGTAAAAGCTATAACTAAAAATTAAAAAAAAAATCCGTAAAAGTTAGTAAAAATCGTTGCAAGCATCACGCTTTGATAAACCAAATCTTGGTTACCGTTAGTCTTAGAATATTTTAGAATATTTTAAAATACAGACTGTATTAAAATTAAAATTAAAAATTAATGTACAGAAAATAATCTTTTTTTTTATTTGGTAATGCATATCCTTAAATCGCCGCCGCATGTTAAGAATATCCTGGATTGATCATCGCAATAACGTATCGATATAAGAACAATTTAAAGTAAAGGATATAGTGCTTAAACAAATACAACAGAGATATTTGCAGTATTTTGGACCCATTGTTAGAAGGAAAGGTATAATGGAAAAACTGATAGTCGAGGGTAGAGTTGAAGTAAAGAGACCTAGGAAAGATCTCCAAGCCTTTGGGTAGATCAAACAAAAATATTGATTAACCAAGGGTTACATGAAGCCAAACAACTAGCCCAGGACAGAGAAGGATGGAGGGAAATCGTGACAAAACTGTAAAGGCATGATGGTGTCACCACATCCCAAAAGGGATTAGGACTGAGGAGGATAATCCTTAAATCTACAAGAAAAAAAGTTTCTGTAATAAGATATTTAAAAAATAGCTGTAAAAACTTATATGTAGTTAGAGAACCGTATCTTGCTGAAAGTTAGTCCTAGAACCTTTTACAGTAGACTATTTTAAAGGTATTTTTTTTTTCAATATACCATGAAATAATATCCCTATATCCAAATTCTGAACATATTTTACCGATGCATCAAAAACTTAATCAGGACTAGCAGTGGCTTACACACATGGAGCAGACCATATTAAAATACAACTCCCTCTGAGTGGTAGCATATATACTGGAGAAACACTGAAGCAAGAAAATCCGCACCTCATTATATTATAATCTCTGACTCATTAAGTACACTAAAAGCTTTACAGCAATTGTATCCATTAAATAAAATTATAATACTAATAAAAAATGAACTCATACTACGATCAACAAAAAACATAGAACTAACTTTTTTATCGGTGCCATCACATGTGGGAATCAAGGGAAACGAAGCAATGGACCAATTTGCAAATGAAACTGCACTAGATGCAAGCATCCCTGTATCACACATGCTAACAAGAAACGACCATAAAACTCCATTAAATAACATAGTAACAACTTATGGCAGAGTAACTGGAATTCCACATCCAACAAATTAAAAGCTGATATAGAAACTGGCGGCACCACCTTACCACTCCCACTCAAACGTTGTGAACAAGTAATAATAACTCGACTACGATTAGGACATACTATACAAGCCCATATTCACTTAATAAATAAAGAAGTCATACCTTTCTGCCACAACTGCAAGATCCAAATCACTGTGAAACATATTCTGTTAGAATGCAAAATAAACACCCAAGAAAAAAGAAAAAATAACCTTTCTACCAATATGAAGGATCTACTAAGCTGCCAGTTCAACGAAGTGCTAAAATATTGGAAAGACATTAAATTTTATAGTATTTAATAATGGCTAAAATGGCTGTGAATTAGACAGCATGTGGCGTGGTGACATTCACAGAAGCGGCACATGTACAGCGGTGTAGAAGGCAACGGGAAACCACTACACTAATATTTCCCCAGCAAAATTACATAATGCTCATGGAACCTAAAACAACGGCCCTCAGTCCCGGGCACCTCTTAAATGAGGAGAGGGTGCTAAGAATCCCCCGGAGGAAAACAAAAAGAATAGGCACATGGAATGTGAGAAGTCTATATGAAGCGGGAAAGGCCGCAAATTTAATTCAAGAAATGGAAAGACTTGATATCGATATACTGGGATGCAGTGAGGTAAGATGGCCAAATACAGGTACCTGTGTGATGGGCAACTATACAGTATTCTATTCTGGAGATGAAGGCACTCAAAATAAAAACGGTGTAGCAATAATTACATCTAATGAAATTGCAAAATTAGTTTCTGGATTACTACCAACATCAAATAGAATAATGCTAATAAAAATAGACAGCAAACCAGTCAATATGAATATTATCCAGGTATATGCCCCAACTAGTCAAAGCACAGAAGAAGAAATAGAACAATTCTACGAAGACCTAAACAAAACTCTACTGCAGACAAAGAAGCATGAAACCAACATAATATTAGGAGACTTTAACGCCAAGATTGGAAAAGGAAGAGAAGATGACACGGTGGGGAGTTTGGCCTCGGAATAAGAAATGAGAGGGGAGATAGACTGCTTCAGTTCTGTAAAGAAAATCAGTACAGTATAATGAACAGCTTTTTCAAGTTACCACCCAGACGTCTCTACACGTGGAAATCTCCAGCAGATGGAATAGAAGGACGCATCACAAGAAATCAAATCGATTACATAATGGTCAACAAAAGATACAAAAACGCAGTAAAAGCATGCAAGACATACCCCGGAGCTGACATCCCCACCGACCACAATCTTCTTCTTGCAACAATTAGGATAGAATTTAAAAGAACAAAAAGAAATAAGCAAATAATAGCTATTAACCTAGATAAGCTTAAAGAAGAATCCACTAGTAATAAAATACGGGAAGAAATACATAGACACTTGAGTAACAGAACAGTACAATCGACACAAACTCCCGAGGAAGAATGGCACTATATTGAGAAAACACTTACAAGAGTAACAGAAGACTACCTCAAACAAGATACACGAAAAAAGAACAAACCATGGATGACAGAAGAAATTCTAAACATGATGGACGAAAGAAGAAAATACAGAGGTAAAAATGAAACAACATACAAGCAAATACACAAGAATATCAGAATAAAGATCCAACAAGCCAAAGAAACCTGGCTAAGTGAAAGATGCCAAGAAATTGAAGAGTTGGAACAAAGACATGATACTTTCAATCTACATAAAAAAGTAAAAGAAGCCGCTGGATATTAAACAAACCTACGTCTTTCATCGAAGATAAACATGGAACCCGCTACTGAACATAGAAGATCAAATAGGTAGATGGAGAGAATACGTGGAAGAGATGTTTCAAGACCGAGAGAGGACGAACATTTACATGCAGGAGGCATCGACTGGACCTTATATCACAAAGCAAGAAATTATCAAAGCGGCAAATCAGTTAAAGAACGGAAAAGCTGTTGGGGAAGATAATATCCCAATTGAAATAATAAAGATATTACTAGACGAACACATCGAAGTAATGGAAGATATATTTAACAAAATATACGAAACAGGCATAATACCAAATGATTGGCTGACATCGGTGTTTATACCACTACCAAAGAAGAGAAACTCCAAGAAATGTGAAGACCATAGGATTATTAGCCTGATGAATCATATGTTGAAGCTTTTCCTACGAGTAATACACAATAGAGTATACAATAAACTAGACGAACACACTGGTCAAACTCAGTTTGGTTTTAAGAATGGGTTCGGAACAAGAGAAGCACTTTTTTCAATACGTGTGCTAGTTGAAAGATGTAGAGATGTCGATTCTGATGTATACTTGTGTTTTATAGACTTTCAGAAGGCGTTTGACCTGGTGAAACATGATAAACTAATAGATATTTTAAGGTCATGTAATATCGACGATAAAGACTTAAGGATCATTTCAAACCTCTACCAAGAACAAAAGGCTAAAATCAGAATAAAAAGCGAAACATCTGGAAAAATCAATATCGAGAAGGGAGTAAGACAGGGATGTGTCCTATCACCTTTGCTGTTCAATGTTTACTCTGAGAAGATATTTCAGAAAGCTTTGGAAGGCACCTCGGATGGTATAATTATAAACGGGCAATGTATAAATAACCTGCGATATGCTGATGACACTGTCATACTGGCAGATAATGCTGAAGCCCTGCAACGCTTAATGGACCGAGTAACGACAGCCTGTAGAGAATTTGGAATGAAATTGAATACAAAGAAGACAAAAACGATGGTCATCAGCAAGCACCAAAACAGAAGGGTGAAGGTCAATGTCGACGGAACAGATCTGGAAAGAGTAACAAGAACAACGTACCTTGGAAGTAATCTTGATGAAACTTGGGACCACTCACTAGAGATAAGAATACGCCTGGAAAAGGCACGTACAATGTTTTACAAAATGCAAAAAGTTCTATGCAACCGCCAGCTGGGCATCTCATTGAGAACTAGAATACTTAAGTGCTATGTTTTCTCCACCTTGCTCTATGGTGTTGAAGCCTGGACAATGACAGAAGCAACACAAAAAAGAATCCAAGCATTCGAACTCTGGTGTTACCGTAAAATGCTCAGAATATCCTACATGAGCCATACGACAAATGCGGAAGTCTTGCGGAGGATGAATAAGGAAAGAGAGCTTATGCTTATAATAAAAGAACGGAAAACACAATATTTTGGTCACATCATAAGAAATCAAAAGTATGAACTGCTCCAACTTATAATCGAAGGCAAAGTCAATAGCAAAAGAGGACCAGGAAGAAGACGCAACTCTTGGCTTAAAAACCTACGGCAATGGACGAACATGACCTCCATAGAACTATTCAGGGCTGCTACAAATAAGATTAAATGGGCAAATGTAATGGCCAACGTCCTTAAGGATAAGGCACCGTAAGTAGAAGAAGTATTTAATAATACTGTGTAACACTGCTAATAACTCTTAGTAGTTGATGCAGGCTCATTTTTGTTTAAATAAAAAAAATTCAGTGTTTTATTGTTAGATTACCATTTGTATTTAATATTTAAAAGTAGGTCTATTTAAGTCTTTATATTTTGTAGCCGAATTTATATCATTTATTGTATTTTTATTGAAAGGTTTTAAAATTTTACATTTGTAATATATTTTTTCTTTTCTAGCCGTCCTCATCCTATATCTCAGGAATATACTCCTGTTTTCTGACGCAAAATCGTTAGTAACGTACCACACGTTCTCCATGTCTGCATATTTTTTCCCTATAGTTGGTGCCATAATCTCAGACAGTTTTTTAGGAAAATTTAATACAATCTTTTATGTTTCGATGATATATGCTAGTGGATGTATTCTACTTGCACTATCAGCTACTGATCCCATAGGGTTACCTAAAGCTGTAAGTATTTGTTTCACATATCTATAAAAAAATTTCTATTAAACTATTGCAATATATGATTTTACCGCAGTTTTAAAAAGTAATAATTTATTTTTTCTTCAAACGTCAAATAATGATGACATTACTTATCTAACTTGATCCTGTCAAAGTTTGATGTCTCCGCCGGCAGCAGTTTTTTTTCCCATTTCTTTACGGGCGGAGGGAAAAATGTTGTCATGGCAACAATATGAAACATGTCACAAAGCAACAATACAAATGTCATTAACAACAATTAAACATCATTTTTATTTATAGTAATATTAAAAGTACAATTAGTTAATGAGGCATTTTCAAAATTGAAACCGTGCAAAAATGTTCCCGACTCTTGATACGCATTGGTAATTGTTGATGATACTGATGGTCGAGAACAACTTTCAGCAATCATTCCCGATGTTGGCGAATCATGAGGGTTTAAAATTTTTTGAGCATTATCGTTCTTATTTCTTATTGAATCCTCTATATATCCTTCGGCAACCGTGCTTGATTTCCAGCCCCATGTCGTTTGAGGCATTCTAGATTTCCGCCTCCATCAATTAAAAGTGTTGCTGAAGTTCGTCGTAAAGAGTGACCCGTGTATGCGCTTGCATCGTTTAAATTTAAATAACTAGCTACTTTTTGGGCTACTGCGCTGATCGAATGTATTCCCATGACGCTTCGGTAACACTTTCCATTTTGGTACTTGATAAAAAATCGGTTTTCTGTGAAATTTTCAGGCCGCAGTGATGCATACTTTTTATACAGTTTAATGTAGTTTTGACCAATTATCGTAAAAGATCTAATTTGTCGTGTTTTACTGTCTGGGATTTTGATAATTATTACATTTTCTTTATCCTCAATGTCCACAGTCTTCATTTTTACCATTTCGTCGCATCGACAGGCGCCGGTAACCCCAATTAACAAAACAATCTGAAATATTTTTATAATTTAGTAGAGTATACTACATGCTTTGCAATATAATTTTTTTACCTTTAATCCTAAATACAACTTATCTGGCGCTTCAAACAAAAATTTATCAAACTCGTCTTTAGTGAAAACTTTAGACTTCTTTGCAGTATATCCTTCGCTTGTTTTTTTTCAGAAAGGCACGTAACTTTAAAAATTTGCTTATATCCACATTTTTTCTAATAACTAACTCGGATTTTATCATAGAGTATCGTGACCACATTGTAGAAGATTTCCATTTATTTTCATTTTCCATTATATTAAAATATGCCAGTAAAACGTCTTCGGTAACTTGCCGTACTCCTCTTGTATCGCACCACTCTTGGAAGTGCTTGTACGCTAACCGATACTTTATTCCGGACTTGGAGGGCCCCAAACGTGCTACTGCATCATTAGCCGCGGACTCAATTTCGTTTAGGTTTTCCATTTTCGCACTAAATTTGCGCTTGCGGTTGCAACAACAATAAGCTGTCTTTAATAATTGCAAACAACGTCAAAACTGTAACCAGGGAGACGCAAATCCCACCGACGACTTAATTATTTTAATTTCTAACATCTAGACGACTTTGATAGTTGTCACAGTTAATTTCGAGTAAAAATAGCGTATGAATTGTACTATTTATGGTTGAAAATTGCTACGTTTGAAGAAAAAATAGTATACTTTATTCGGCAAAGAAGCGACTTTTCTTGACTTGCCCTCTATTACGCGCCTCACTTCGTTCGGCGCGTAATATCGGGCGCGTCAAGAAAATTCATGCTTCTCCGCCTCATAAAGTAATATACTATTGTTTCTCCTGTATTAGTTTACATTTTTGTAATTTGGTGTGAATAATATGTTGTTTCAACACATGTGCAAAGCGTTTAAAATATCTACTATATGATTATCTGATATAAATACTGATATATATTATATATATATATATATATTATATATATATAATATATATATATATATATATATAGATATGTATATATAATATATATATATATATATATATATATATATATATATATATATAACAATTATATGTATTGGAGTATCGGGTATGCGGTCTGTTATTAAAAAAACTCTTTTTTCTTTTATTGCTCTATATTTCGCTGATTTTTTGTCATCAGGAGACAAAGATTTATATATAATATATAAATATATTCAAAACAGTACTTAGTACTGTGATGGATGTACATATCAAAACCGTAACAGTATCATGGCAAATGCACTGCTTTTTTGCTCTATAAGTAAAAATTAACATCATAGACATACTCAAATGGAGTGTGACTCCACTCACAGTCGAGTAGAAACTAAAATTAAAGGACGTGATATATATCTGCCTTCCACTTATCTCTCTATTACTGGTTAAGCTGGGAAATCTCCCAAAACGATGTGAAAGAAGGAATAAACAAATTAAAAAACAGAAAGTCACCAGGAGAAGATCAAATACCAAATAAACTCTTAAAATATGGAGGTGATTACCTTGTATAACAACTGCAACTTCTTATTAATAAAATAATCACCACGAACAGAATACCAGATGAATGGAGGAGAGCGATCATGGTGATGTTCTTCAAAAAAGGAGATAAGAAAGACCCCAATAATTATCGAGCAATAAATCTTTTAAATACAACACTCAAATTGACAACAAGAATAATAGCGACAAAAATAAACGAACGAATATCTCTGCAAGAGGAACAGCAAGGATTTCGGACAGGAAGATCATGCACGGATGCAGTTTTTGTAATAAGACAAATAAAAGAAAAGTCGCTGGAATACAACAAACCAGCATATATGTGTCTGATAGATTTGAAGAAAGCGTTTGATAGAGTGAGAATTCGGGACGCGATACATTTATTATATGAAAAGGGAATATCACTGGATTTAGTAAAAACCATTGAGAATATATATAAAGATAACATAGCTATGGTAAGATGTAAAGGAAAACTATCGCAACCTATCAAATATGAAACTGGCATTAGACAAGGAGATTCGCTGAGCCCATTAATATTTAATCTGATAATGGATGAAATCATAAAGAAAGTTAAAAAAGAAGAGGATATAGAATGGGAGAAAAGGAAATAAGGATAATATGCTACGCCGACGACGCCATAATAACAGCCGAAAATGAAGATGACCTACAAAGATTAATTAATTTAACAGAGAAAACTAAAGCGATAGTGATATCAGCGAACCGAGACGATGTAAACTAGTCGTAAACAACAAAATAATAGAACAAGTGATGGAAACTGAAAACTTGGGAATAAAACTGTCAAGCTAAGGAAAAGTGGAAGAAGAAGTACAAAAACAAGTGAACATGGCAAACAGAGCAGCAGGATGTCTCAACAACACAATCTGGAGAAACAAATACCTCACAACGGAAACGAAAACCAGGATATATAAATCAACAATAAGACCGATAATGACGTACACAGCGGAAACAAGAGCAGATACGGCGAAACACAAAGACTGCTGGAAACAACAGAAATGAAAGTCTTACGAAAAATAACAAACCAAACTCTAAGAGACAGAGTAAGAAGTGAGGAAATACGAGCGAGATGTGGTATAGAGGAAATAAACGCGTGGACCAAAAGAAGAAAAGTGGAATGGAATCAACACATCGAAATAATGACAGAAAATAGAATAGTACGAATAGCAAGAGACAAATCGCCAAATGGAAGAAGATCATTGGGACGACCGAGGAAAAGATGGTCAGACAACGTCAATTGAGGCTAAAAACCAAAGTAAAACAGGCATTATGCCTATTTATAAAGTAGGAAGAAGAAGAAGACCTTGATATTAAAGCAATAATTATTTATTTGGGTTTAACGATTTTCACATGCAGGGAGTGTTTTTTTATTCTCCTTTAAAAAACCTATTTTTGGGTTACGATCTTTTGCATCTTACGCGACGATATGATATAAAATATGTATGTGGTAACGAATTTATTACTGAGCCCTTGCTATAGGTTAGACGACCTAAAGCAGATCCACTGTATTACTTCTGAACTTCCAAAATATTAGTTACTAACATATCAAAAAATTTAAATCTCCTTAGCTCTTTTATTTACCTACTTCGTGAGATATATGTAGTATATAGATGTGTACACCAACATTTAAGCCCACTGATTCCTAAAAATCTAATACCTTCAGACTTGTCACACAAGCTTCCTTAATGGGATCATACCTTGATACTATTATAGTATTGATTTGAATACGAAACATTTTAAGAATTCCTAATATTAATGCTTCACTCCCTATAACATAACTACACTGCTCAAAAAAAATTTAGAAAAAGTATTCAAAAAAGAACCCATACTCGTATATGTCTTCATATTTTTTATTTAGTTTTATTTATGGCGATTTTATATACATACTATTACAACAGTTCTAACTTCTGAGTCATTTAAGTATTTAATCGACTAGTCTCGCGCGTAAGTGAAGTCTCCTAGCTCTCCATTATATTCCCTCATAGGGCATTCAACAAAGATATGCTAGATGCTTTGTATTTTGGCGTCACAGTCACATTCATTAAATATTCTCATCTTTCATTTGTGAAGGAAGTCTGCAAAAACTTCGTCTCCTGTTTGTATTCTGCTGAGAGTTGACCATGATCTTCGGGGAAGGTCAAAACTTGCTGGTGTTTCTGTGATCCATGGTATGTTTCTCCTTATTGGTTCAGCTTATCGCTCTGCATTTTTTTCTACTAGGAGGTCATTTGTATATTGTTGGAACTCAAGTTAATTGCAGTCCTAGTTGGAGTTTTCTGGAGCGCAAGCGATGTGGGGTGGTGTCAGATATGTGTCTGTGTATTGGTAATTGTGGAATTGTGGATTGTTAAGTACTTTTTAAAAATATCCGAGCAAAGGATGAATTTGACGGAGATCAGAAAGTATATGGCTCAGCAGTGGCAGCAATTCTGTAGGTGTAAATTTAATGTTCAGGATTATAGAGATAATAATAATTTTTGTATTTCGTGTGGAGTTGCCTGTCTCCATCGAACGCGTTCACAGGTGGTGGATAGGGGAACGCTATAACCTGTCTCAGGACCTGCAGGTAGGTGGAAAATAAATACCACCGCAAACCAAAACAGACTAGGGTATGGGAACCCTAACAGAAGAGTCCTTAGCCCTTCATTTTGGAGGTTGAGCTAAAGGCCAACAATCTCTTCCTGTTAAGAACCCATGTTATGGAACCTTAGAAACTATTAGCTGGACAGAACTTACGATGACGACTCTGCAAACAAAAAATGGAATTGAGATTAGGAACATGGAATAACCGAACCCTGTACCGAGCTGAAGTACTCTCATCTTTACTAAACATAGCGAACACTTACAAGGTAGATGTTTTAATACTGCTAAGAAATGCGGTGGATGGGAACTGGCACTCTTGATAAAAAAACCCAGCCCATATATTATAGCTGCATTACAAGTCAACATACACTACTTCAAGAAATTAACGCACCGCTTTAAAACTTGCCATATAATATAATATTAACTGAAATAAAACGCATTTTATTTCGTATTACTTTCATTTGTAAAACAAACAGATTTGGTTATGTTGTCACTAACCATCTTTATTATTCATAAACTTCATAACACAATCTTCAAACAATGAACAACAAAATCGCTAATTCTAAAAATTAAAATTGTTCAATTTTTTTTGCTTAATAAGACGTATTTCTACCCCTGCTACGAATGACAGCTTGGCATTGACGATTTATACTCGAAATAAACGGTCTTAAAATATTCTCATCCAGTTCGTTCCAAATTTAAACAAGACGTTGTTCCAGTTCCTGCAGAGTGTTTGGTTGATTAGGAGAATTCCGTAGACATGTACCAAGCAAGTTTCAAACATTCTCTATTGGACTGATATAGTACACTAGAACCAAATTTTTGTCATTATCATGGTAAATGGCATAATATGGTCTTGGGGAACGTCAACAATACATTGGTAAGCATTGATGGTACCGTTATTTAATACCACCAAGTCTGTATGACCCGCTAAAGACCATAACCCCAGACCATAACCCTCCACCGAATAACGTCGTTTCCACATGTTACACTGAACATATCGTTTATTCTGACATCGTTACATGCAAATATGCCTATAACAATTTTAAAGACAAAATCTTTTCTTATCTGTAAACAGCACTGTATTGCAAACAGCCTCCAACCAATAGACATGATTTCGTGCAAATTCTAAACGCGATCTGCGATGAGCTACTGTCAAGGCAGGTATACAATTTACCAAATTACCTTCCTTGGGGCCTTGACAAACAGTCTAACAGTTGATTTGAACATTATGAACATCTTTAAGTTGATATTGTAAGCTTCTGGTACTTATAAATCGTTGTCTTAAGGTGAAAAATCGAAAATAACGGTCTTCAACAGGCGTTGTTACACGATGTCGATCTTGTCCTGGACGCCTAGAGTGACTTCCGTTCTCTTTGTATCGTTCCGCCATTCGTAACACCGATATATGGTGTACGCCGAACCATTCTTCTAAACGTCTGTAACTCCAACCTTCTTCGTTCAAAACCAGCACACTCTTTATTAGACAAATTTCTCGACTCGCGTTGCATTTTTATTAAAATAATAGCAACATGTTAGCAACAAAGAGCAATACATGACATTAACAAATTTACAGCAGCTTTGTTTTGTATTCCTTTGAAACCGGTTAAAACAAAAAGCAAGACATGTAACCTGATAAAAACACTTCATATACATGGTACATTAAATTGACTGATAGAATTACAAATAAAAAAAGTACTGGAGAGGGTTGATAAAGAAACAGAACTAATCACCACTATACAAACCAGAAAACTGGAATACCTAGGCCATGTGATGAGGGGACCAAAATATGAAATTTTGAGACTCATAATACAGGGAAAGATTCAAGGAAGAAGATCTGTTGGCCGAAGGCAGAACTCATGGTTAAAGAATCTACGTGATTGGTATCAATGCAGATCGATTGATTTGTTAAGAACAGCAAGTTCTAAAATAAAAATAGCCATTATGATTGCCAACCTCCGTAGGGAGACGGCACTCTAAGAAGAAGTCTTGGAAGCCAAATCAAAAATTTTGTAGTTATGAACTACAAAGTTTTGTTTTATAATAAAACGCTATGGCTTCAACGGATGGTGCTAACTTAACGGCTTGCATGTCAACTGTTATACAAACTATATTTTTATTTTTCATGCATTCATCTTTGTCTTTTCTTTTTTCATTTCTAAACGCTTCTTTCTCTTGTTGGTGTTTATTGTACTCTTCTTCACTTATATTTCCAATTAATTTCGTGGCCCATACATGTGTCACAAAGATCCTTTTTAGGGCGATGGATGGATATGTTTTGATTTTCCATTTCCGACTAAAACATAGTGCGGCTCAAACTTTTTGTTGAAAGTCGATGACATTCTACCTTGTATGCTGAATATACACAATTTTTTTTTCCGAAAAATAAGCTCTAAATATAATCGTGAAGATGAAACACGGCTGTAATGCAATTCGAACTTTGGTAAAGTTGTTAAAAAGTCTGATAGATACCGTTTTGAATGCTTCCAAATTGCCGTTCTTGATTTGGTAGGTGTTTTCTTATTTTCAGCTGCAAGATGAATACCATTTTCTGATTCTTGACGCCAACAGACTGCGACTGATTGAGTTATTCCAAAGGTGATGAGAAACATTTTTTTGCAAACTGGTGACACCGAGATATTGACAGAAATCAGAAACATTGTCATCAAAAAAGAAGAAAATTCCTCTTTTCTACTTTTAACATGAAGTTGCGGTTTTTGTTGGTTTTTAGATGCTTTTGTGTTGTATTTGTAAAAATACCCTTTTGTGTTGTAATGTTTTTATTTAAAATTTTAAATGTATTTTTTAATATTTTTAACATTATATATGACAGTGTTCTTCACCACTAGGATCAACTGAACATTTTCAATGTAGGTTTTTAAATGTTAATTTCCACCACTTGTACTAAATAAGTTTTCCATTTAGGTGCTAATGAAGGTGACAGCCTATCACCGAAAATTTCACATTCAGAATAAAGTTCTACACCAAATTGGCTTATACCATCTCTAGCCGAACCTTGACTTGACGCTTTCCCGAAAGTTACCTACCAAAGAATTATGTTCTTAGCGTCGTTTATATATACATATATATATATATAATATATATATATATATATATATATATATATATATATATATTATATATATATAATTTATTTAAATTCCCTATGCTTTTTATTGGCACTTAAAAATACAATCAAATTTCAGGAATTCTCAATATTGGGCCTAATGCTCATAGCCATAGGCACCGGTGGTATTAAACCATGCGTCTCAGCGTTTGGAGGAGACCAATTTCGCCTACCCCAACAGGCGAAGGAAGTAGAGAGGTTTTTTTCATTATTTTACTTTTCTATCAATGCTGGAAGTTTATTATCAACTATTATTACTCCCATTTTAAGAAATGATGTACACTGCTTCGGTAATGAGAATTGTTTTCCTTTGGCTTTTGCAGTTCCCGGATTTCTGATGATAATTGCTATAGGTAAGCCTTCTTATTTATTATTACTTTATTGGTTATTGTTATTATTCAAACAACAAGAATATGACTCGTCATTGTCATTTAATTTAGGTTATGTAGAGATTATAATACAGCAAACATTGTGCACAAATTTTACAAATTTTTTTCAACTTATCTTTCTTTGATGATGATGTTCACCAAGAAGAAGATTATCTAGAAGAAAGAAGTGATAATTCAGAGAGCCAACAAGATATTTCGGATATTGAAGTCGAAACATCTCCTGTTACAGAAGCATTTTTAATTGGCGAAAACAAATATACTAAGTGGAAAAAAGACGCACCATCAAAGATTGTTAAAATCAGATCTGTAAATTTATTGGAACATGTACCTGGTCCGGAAACTTTAACAAAAATATTAAAAGATCCAGATCCAAAAGATTATTTGAGACGAAGCTGCTGTAGATCGAAACTGGACAGAGTAAGAAATGAACACATAAGAAACGAAATGAAAATGGAGCGAAATATCAATGATGACATAGAAAGAAAAGGATTAATCTGTTCGGACATGTTAAAAGAATGCCAGAGTACAGATGGTCTAGAAGAGTACTGGAATAGATCATTCCTGAAAGAAGAAAGAGAGGACGACCACGGAGAAGTTGGCGCAACAATATTGATGAAGCAATGGCGACAAGAGACTTAGAAGAAGTAACTGCATATGACAGAAAAAGATGGAAGTTGGGGGCGGAGAAGCGGCGACAGCCCTAATCATATATTACTATTACTATTAATATTATATATATATATATATATATATATATATATGTATATATATATAATATTATATATATATATATATATATATATATATATATATATATATAATATATATATATGCCTCGGGCGACTTACAAACCCTTGTGCCAGAGACTCTCAGGTTTGTAACATCGTCTCTCTCTGAGCATAAACATCTATTTAATACCCTTGGTACATAAATAACTATTATTGTCCTCCATTCTTCTGATATTTTGTTGTATCTTATAATCTTGTTAATTAAAGTGATACATTTAAAACACATTGAACATTTTGACAGGCGACATTTTGCGCCTTTCCCCTTTAATACCTTCCGATCATAACTACTATTACTTATCTTATATAATTACGATTAGAAAATTATTCAAATTCAAAATAAATAGGATCAACTTCAGAATCCGAGTCGTCTTGAGGGTTAATAATTAGCGGTTGTGTCTCTACGGTCGCATCAATTATGTTATCAAGATCCCACATTTTTTGTTCTTCTTCTATTACATGTCTTACTGCATCTTTTCAGTTTTGTTCTGTAATATGTTTTAAAGACTCGTATAACAATTCACGTACAGCTTGTATTTTATATGACGTATTTTTTCTAGCCACATAACTTTTCATTTGTGCCCAAATGAGTTCAATTGGATTTATTTCGCAGTGGTAGGGTGAAAGTCTAGCGACTGTGATGTTTTGCCTTTCCGCCATTTTGTCAACTACGTATTTCTTGAACATGGATTTGTGTTGCCGGGCAATTTTAAAAGTTCTGCTTTTACCATTTCATCTTCGTAAGGCAGATACTTATTCCACAGCCAGTGAAGAATATCCTGTTTCTTCCACGCAGTCGTTGAAAGTCTTTCTACTAGTCGTGAATGATAATGTGCATTATCTTATACTATAATTGAATTTGGTGGTATGTGTTCAATCATCTGCTTAAAATACTCTTCGAAAAAGCTGTAATCTCCTCGTGATAGTCTTTTGTGCTTTTGGACTGAAATTCCAACAAACCATGCTTAACAAATCCTTCTTCACTGCCAACGTGAGAAATTATTAATCTACTGCCTTTACCAAAAGGTAAAATCTCCTCCCAGTCAATCAAAAGTGATTTTCGGTCTGATTTCTCCCACCGGAAATTTAATTCTTTTAAAAATTGCCACAATATAGTTCGTCCGATATGAGGCAAATCCTCATGTCGTCTCTAACTTCTTGTAAAATTTTGTTTAGGTTTGGTATTTCCTTTTTGAAAAAAAATCCATGAATTTTCCTTCGAATACCATTTTTGGCAAATTCATCAATTTCAATAGGCTTTTTACCTCTTTTTAAGGGTTCGTTTGTGTTTGCGTTAGCTAGACCGTGTTTTTTCTTTCTGATAGGAACCTATATATAGTTGACACCGCTACTCCCCTACGTCAGTCATGCAACCAAAGCATCGTGAACATTCAGGACAATAGTCTTCTCTCTTGGTGAATAGACAGACTTACTGACTGTACGCAACAGTACCGGTGTAAAACTTGATGATGTTGATGATGAAGCCATCACAAATAATCCAACAAAACGAGCACGAGCGAAAGGTACGTATATGTTCGTAGGTATATGGAATAAAAAATCACTCACGCACTGCATATAATTCGCAAAAGAAATATTCGAGACGCTAATTACTGCCGTAGACGCGGAAACACCGACGAGCCGTAAATTACATGCGATCAAAAACGTACTAAACAAAAAAATTGTTTTCGTTCGTAATAACTTCACCCTTTCAAGTTAAGTTTCGAATATAAACTGAACAGACGAGGCACGTGGCCAAAGCCGGCATCTTTATACCCATTATATTATTAAAAATCTGGGAAATTCCATCCTAATTATCTTGTAACGAATAGTACCTTCGGATATGAATTCCAGGTTTCTAGTAAAGTGATTAAACGCGAAGATTAGTATTGAAATATCCAAAGAGATAAGGTATTCTTATTTACAAAATTGTTAATGGTTAAATTCTTATTTTTATTAATATAATATAATAACCAACATTAGCCGTGAAAGTTTTAATTGTGTTTTTTGCTAAATATATTAGTATTAAAACATTATTAATATTGATAAACATTTTGGAAAGAAAAATAAATGTGAAACGCATTAATTTTAATGAATAAACACCTCAGGAACGCCTATGATGATACAAATTTTACGACGAAATTTGAGGCACATTTCGTGATTTCAACAATTTGTGAACGGATTATAGTATCGTGTCAATGACCTCGTCATCGAGACACGTTAATTCAAATAAAAAAAATAACCAGAGTGTAATTTCAAAACAATGGGAGCCTGTTAACTAAAAAAATTACCACACAAAAAAAGTATCTTTAAACTAAATTAAAAAGATGTATGATATCATTAAAAAATTTTCACATTTTGTAATATATGTTTATAATATATCGTTTTTTTTTATCGTTTTAGTCATCTTCGTTGCAGGACGACCAACGTATAAAATCAAAAAACCAGAAGGCAACGTTATAGTACAAGTTACAAAATGTATTGTGGTAAGTGTAATATTCTTATAATTTCATTATTAGTGTTATATTGCTATCTATCTATGCTGTCCAATTTTGGACATAGGCCTCCTCTTCCTTCTTCCATGTCTCCCTACTGTAGGCAGTTTGTATCCACTTTGGGCCTGCGTGATTCTTCAAGTCATCTGACCATCTCATTTTTGGGCTTCTTCTTTTTCGTTTGTAAATATTTGCCTTCGTAAAACTAAAACTACTATAAGGTCACTCACTATAAGTGAAAAAAGAAGAGTAATTTAATTTCTATAATACACAAATACAAAAAAATATCATACAAAAAAATCAATAGTAGATCTGAAGTACAAGGACATAGGTATCTACAGAATTCGCCGCATAACGCATTGACATTGCAGTATCCAGCAACAATAAAATAAAAGGGACCAGGAAACAAAAACGACCAAACAGAATTTATGTAACTATTGTGCGAAGATGTAGGTGTTTTTTCTTACACCATAGGTCGCTGGTTTTTCCCTTGGGCAACAAGTTTTGTCTTTAGGGAAATAGGTTCACTTTTATATACTTTTTTGAAGGATGACCCAGGAAACTGGGACAAATGAAAGTTTTGCAAACACCGTTTAAACAAGTCTTTTTAGACAATTACAACTACGAATTTACCACATTCCACATAATCCACATTCAGCTCTTGGTCTAGTTTTTACGTTTGTAAAACGGTCTTCCATCTGATTTTAATCAATATGTAGTCGATGTGGTTCTTGTATTCTCTATTTGGAATGGTCCACGTCGATAAACGACGGGCATGATATTTGAACATTGTGTTTACAATGGCCAAACTGTTTTCGGTTGCAAAATCTATTAAACGTTCTACTCGGCTGTTTCTTATACATAACCCATAGTTTTCTACATTTTGTATGTTATCATTTCTTGTTTGTCCTACTTTAGCGTTAAAATCGCCCATGATTATAAGTGGTTCTTTTGATGAAATATTTCTTATTATGTCTTCAATATCGGAGTATACGTCTAGCATTGTGGTAAATATCGTCAATTTACTGTTGATTCAATGTTAAATACAATTCAAGTAAATTAAGTTCAAATGAGAAAATATGTGTCCTGGAAAAATTGGGAAAACGCTGTTGCCACTAATTAAAATTAGATTAAGGAATAATTTGTTAGATTATATAAGTATTGTGGTAAGTAATAATTTAATAGATAAAAGTAAATTAAATCACAAAGAATTTTTCATTTTTGGATTATATATTTAGTTATTTATTAAACTTTCTAAAATACACGAGGAGGCCTATTTATAATTAAGATTAAAAATCGTGTTTACTAGTAGTCGGGATATTTATTATTTGAAAATTCTAAACAAATTGTCCAAAATAACGTTGTTATTTAACTGTTTTAATTTTTTTAATAGATTTCTTAAAACATTTCAGGATTAAGAAAAGAAAACATCTTAAACAATTAAAATTTAATTTTAAGTGACATCTCTAATAATTATTTCATACTTTATATTTAGATCAGTAAAAATACAGATTTTTATATAAAATAATATTGATGTGCACTTGCCAGTTGTCCAGTGACAGCTCATAAATAAAAATAAATAAATATTGGATATAATAGTAGTAGATATATTATAATTTTTTGTGATTTCAGTGTGGAATAAAGAATAAGATAAAGTCAAACGAGAAAAAGGAACATTGGCTTGATTACGCAAAAGAAAAACACGGAGAAAACCTAATAAAAGATATTAAGGTAGCACTCCATGTTTTAGTTCTCTTTCTTCCGCTGCCGATTTTCTGGGCTCTCTACGATCAGCAAGGATCAGGATGGACTTTGATGGCAGTGAGAATGGATGGAAACATTGGATTCTACACAATTTTACCAGATCATATGCAACTCGTCAATCCATTGCTGATTTTGGCTTTTATTCCATTGTTTTCCTACGGCATTTATCCACTTTTAGGTAATTGTTATACTATGTCATATTTAAAATATATATATATATATATATATATAACACACACACATATATATATATATATATATATATATATATATATATATATATATATATATATATATGAAACCTAGAGCTAAGGTTAATACTATTTCTAAAATTAATATCAAACTCACCAGTCTTCCGGGTTGAACCGCGTCGATATCCATTTTGCCGAGCTTTCGGCATCCTCTCTGATGCCTTCCTCAGGGCTTCCGAGGTCTCAGTCTCCCGAGCCCCCAGACACTACTACACTGTTCACTGATCACTACACTGTCACTACTACAGTGATTAGCTTACAATGGTTAGCTCTAATGACAGCTAAGATCAGTTTTAACGTTTTGTATGTTTCATCTGCCAATACCTGTGTATTCCTTGTGCTTGAAGTAGTAGATATTGGAATACGCTAAATAGTATCGACAACATCCTTTTTATTTTCAAATAATGAATTTCTTGCTTCCAGAAAAACTCTTTTAACGATGACCGCGTCACTAAATGGTGTCATATGTTTGGCAAGCGTCCAGGAAATGCTTAAAGAAGTCTAAGAACATTTTTCTTGATCAGTCAATGATCGACCAATTCCCAAAGATGTAGCGTAATTTAAAAGTAAACTCTCAAGTTTACTTTTACGAATTAGAGTTCCTATTCTGTATTCTTCGTTAAATTTTTATGTTTTGTTGTGAAATGCCGTTTAACATTCGAACTTTTAATTATTGCTACAGTCTGATAGCAAATCAAACAAACAGGTACTGCTCCAACTCGGTTTGGCAAAGTGAAACAATATAAATCTGTCCATTCAGGTTGAAACTGCCTGTTTTCCGATTCAATTTTTCTTTTCTTCTTTTCCATGTTGATATAAATGTAAAATATAAACACCGCTAGAACTATACAGAAAACAACACTTGAAAGTATTAGCTAGAACACAATAAAAAGAATAAAAACGTAAAGATAATATTTTGAATTCACTGGCAATCCGCAAACAACAAGCTCACAGTCGGGATGTGGACTGCGGTCCGCCATTTGGTGACCCCTGTTTTACATCATGATAAATCAATGCTTGATGCATCGACTTGGGCATCGATGTGTTTAACGCTTCAGTTGGTATGTAAGCAGCGTCTAAGCAACGTATTGTAACATAACCTAACATTCACAGTAGAAGTGATTTAACTGATCCTATAAGTATAATTAATATTTCACAAGGTAAGTCTGATTTAGTATTTGGTAACTTTTTCTTTATAGTTATATATAGAATCTTTTAGATTTATTTTGGTGCGTACAAACATAAAAAAGAAGTGCATCTCATGCAAAATACAGAAAACAAGAGTTGAATTTAGCAATATTGGAAGTAAATGCAGGACGAAACAATCATATACCGTATGCAACATTCTACAGTCGAATTCGAGGAACCCGGGAAGCAAAACAAGCTAACAAAGGACTCCCAATAAATATTCCAATTGCGGAAGAAATAAGATTAGCCAATAGTCTAAAGATTCTAAAAAAGTGGGGATTCGGTTTGTCCAGGAAAGAGGTGTTTCAAGTAGTTGCAAAATTTTTAACTGAAAACAGTATACCCGGAGACGATTTGTAACTTTAAGAAGCGTCATAATATGAGCATAAAAATCCCACAAAATGTAGAATATGCCAGAAAGAAAGGATTACACTTCATAATCTATGCATATTTTGACCTGCTGGAAAAAACTATGACCGAGCTTGAATTCTTGATAAGCGTCATAGTCAAGTCATTTTATTTAACTTAAATAAAATCAGCCAAAGTATACAATCGAGAAAATCTAAGGTAGTTGGTGCAATCAACAAAGCTTCTTCAAGAACAGTAAGTTCAACCTGGGAAGAAAACAACCACAGAGACAACAAACCCAGCAAAAAAGGCCGCAACAAACATCAAGCGGACCTTCGTACGTACAGACAGCGAAAGCGCAAAATACCGAGAACACCATCGTGATCTCGAAACAACAGCAAGACGGTCTAGTGAACTCAGTTAAGGAACTTTTCACTAGAATTGTCCACGTGGCGATCGCAGACATAAAGCTAGCACTGAACTAGTGCAAGCAAATAGGGGATACTTGAGGATAGGCTCCTGGAAACCAGGAGGCATAAGGACCAACCAGAATATACTGGACGAACTGGTCAATAGATATGAAATGGACGTCGTGGCAATACAGGAAACAAAGCTCACGAACAACATCAACATCAAGTTTCCAGGCTACGACATATACAGGAACGACAACACAGCAAGATCAGGTGGCACAGCAATATTAGTGAAAAAAGGCATAGGTCACATCAGAATTCTAACACCACAACTAAATACTATGCAAGCAACAACAATAAGAGTACAAATGAGGCAAGGAGAAGTCAGAATTACCTCCGCCTACGTAAGACCACAAGATCTACTGATGAAAACGACTTAAATACGTTCCTAAACGACGAACCCTCAATCATAATAGGAGACCTAAACGCAAGATCCCCAAACTGGAACGACAGAGCTACGAACAGAAACGGAAGACTACTAAACACATACATAGAAAATAATGACGACGTTATGGCAAAGGGCCCCACAGACCCAACGCATTACCAGGAAACGGACTTCCTACACACATAGACATTGTAGTAGCAAGAAACCTAGGACTACAAACAGAAATACAAACATTAAACGAAGGCACAACGGACCACAACCCATCCTATTAGAACTAGGAACGTGGGAAGAAGAAAGTAATTGCAATTATACTTGTAACTCTATCCTTTTTTAGAAAAAGATAGTCGAATTTTTTAAAGACCAAGTAAAAATATTTGGATCATACTTCTAGCTACTGATCTGTGTGTCATCTATATATGAGTTGCCTAGTATCTAAATCGCCAAAATGCCATTTTTCCAGTTTTGAGATATCTACTCCCCTGGACTCGTCTCATTAATACATATCGACTGGTAGTAACGTTCAATATTAAATTGTCAAGATATTGCCTAAAAACATAATAAAGTTTGCCTTCCATTTCAAAGTAACCTATGTTTTGGGAGATATCCGTATTAAAATAACCAATGTTTAAAAGAGCCAATTTTTCAATTATACTTTTTTTCATTCATGTGACCTGAATATTGTAAAGAGGAAACATGGCCGATTCACTTTTTTCAGTTACATTTACATTTACAAATTTTTAGCATTTATTAGCACATTAATAGAAATTTAAGAACTTTTAAGTTATTACAAAAAATGGATATTTCACTCGTGCCAGTAACACCTACTAAATGTCGAAAAAGAATAAGACAACCTGAAAATAAAAATGTAATGTTAAGAAACGTCTCAGGTAAGCGTACTATTTGTAACAGTGTGGCTTAAAACTCTATTTGAATTTAAAATCTCTTGTTTTTGATCCACCAATTTTTCAGGAGATCTGAAAAGAGTTTTTTTTCAGTTCAGATACATCGGACAAATATCAAAATAATCGCAGTCCAGTACAAATCAATAGCTTTTGAGTGCAGAAAATTGAAACTAAATGAAATTGCAGAAGTCAACAACGATTCTACACAAAGATTGCACAAGATGCATTTATATTAAATAGTATTAAAATACGGGATGTAAAAAGACGACTTAAGAAGCAAGAATTGCAAAAAGGGAGGTCCAGGAGATCAGCAAAAACATCAGCATGCAAATTTCTGATTAATTTAAGTAATAATACGGTTGTAAATGTCTGCCTAAAAGCATTTCTAAACATACTTTGTATTACATAACAAAGAGTTAGAACAATCATTGAAACAGGACAATAATGTACCTATAGAAAGAAGGGGTGGAGACAGAAAGAGAACAAATTTTTTAACAAAGAAGCAAAGTGTTATGGCTTTTATAATGAAGTTAAAATGTATTGAGTCACGATATTGCCGGGGCAAATCCAAACGGAGATATCTGTCTGAAAACATAATCATTACTAAGCTACCGTTTTTACTCGAGTGATCCGTCTAATGAACCTGTCAAGAGATTCTTTTTCCGGGAAAACTTTAAAAAAAATTCAATTTAGGCTTTCATTTACCACGTATAGATATATGTGCCACGTATTTATTACTAGAGAAACAAATTAAACGATCTGAAAGAGGTGAGAAATCTAATTTAATATGTCAAATAAGAATCCAAAAGGTACGAGCCAGGGCATTCTATAATTTATTAAAGGATGAAAATAACAACATAATCACTTTCTACTTCGACCTTAAGAGAAACCTGTCCTTACCAAAATTACCAGGCCAGCAGGTATATTACATTAGGCAGTTTTATTCTCACTGTCGTTCAGTGATACTTAACCTTTTAAACGCCAACGTTCCCATTTTGGGAACACAGTAAAAAATAAGTTGGATTCAGAAAATATTGAAATATTTTCAAATATTGTAACAAATATGCTTTCTGTATGTCCCATTCTTACTTTCTGTTAGCTGAGATGTTTTTTTTACTTACGGGATTCATCTAGAAACCGCGCAAAATGACGTCCAAATTCATATCACTTGCTTTTTTGTGCTAAAGTTGTTACTGGGAGTCGATATGTACCAAACTGTGATTTATTTTTGAATAGAAATACAGTAAATGAATTATATAAAGGAAATATTTACAAAAAACACATTTAGGTAACTTATTTCTAAAGATATCACGTTCAGCATTCATTGTTCCCAAAATGGGAACGTTGGCAACAGCGAAACACTGTTATTCAAGGTTCCCTAGAGAATGACCGCGCGTAATTGTAACGGCTTGGATTAGTCGTCACGACGTTACGACGAAGAAAACACGTGGTGTTTATAATAATTTTGAGTTTTAGTTTTATTTCAGTGAAAAAATGGATATATCTTTGGATCCAAAAAGTTTTTATGGGTAAGTTGGTGGCAATAAAAAAAGCATAATACTTAGATATATTTTTATACACTTAGATCATCTATACGAAGGCATAGATTTCTAATACATGCACTCGACGATGTG